TTCAATGTCGGGGATTGTATTCAACCATTCGCGTTTGTACAGCCGAGGAAAAATTGTGTTCGCGGAATAAAATAATTTATTCACTGCATTTATGTAACCACTAAATGATATATTATTTGGTGGTTACATAAAAACAGTTAATAATTTAAAATATTAAAATAAATTAATACCTCAAAATAAATTAGTTTCAATATTTTCGTGCAACATGGCTCCGAATTATTAATTATAATTAATACTCAGAAGCCATGTTTCACGCAGATTTTGAGATTACGTGAAAATACGGTAGGAGGGACATCAAACTGGCAGCATCGAAGACAGAAGATTTGGAATTCAGCCGAGAAATGAACTATGCTCGCGAACATATTAGTAAGCCATGAACTTTAATGCTTGACCGTGCGGAATTACAATTTTTGCATACGAGAAAAATAAGATCAGATCAGTTTATAATCTCTTTTATAAGTTGTAACCAAATGGTAATAAATGTTAAATTATTTATTTGGGAAAAATGTTGATAATTTATAGAATTATTACCTAATATTTATTAGCCACCAATTAAAAAAAACAGTTTTAATTAATAGAACTTTCAGAGATCGCAATTCTATATGGACTTGCTCGTCCACATTACGACATGCGAGAAGATAGCATGTTAAATATCGAAACCGATAGCCAAATAGTAATAGAATCAAGATAACATTTCAATACATGAGCATAGAAGGGCATATAAATAATATCATTTCTGGATTATATTATGTGAATTTCGATAGCGTGCCCATGCAGAAAAACAATAACAACAAAAGTAGAGAGATTTTTTAGTAATTTAGTCAATTATTAGAAGGATAATATTATTAGTATATTATCACTATATATAAAATTGGGATATTTCACAATAGGTAAATATTAATTTTGTTCCAGGAAACACTGATAGACCGAACCTATTTTTAGTTGGAATTTTTAGAACTGTCTTCAGCTCACGAGCAATATCGAATTCGCCTCTTAATGATGTCTATCTAAACTTTCTCGCTCGTGAATTACATTTTAATTTTCGTTGTAAGGCATTTTTTTATTTATTACCACTAAATAAACAAAAGCAAGGACACTTGTCAAGACCAGCAATTGCAATATATTTCAATTATTAGCAGGAATGCTTTTCAAATGTTTCATGACTTATTGACGTAATTTATCCAGTGTGGCTGCAGAAAGCAAAACTAATTCAGGTTTTCAGAAACCTGTCAGGCGATTCAGGCTTTGCAGTCCGTCTTCCCGCTTTGTCAGCGCCGCAAGAACCTCGAGTTTTCCCGCCGCAATCGCCCCCTAGCTTAGCTTTACTTTCGTGCCGTCTATATCGTACGCCCGCTCGTCCTGTCCTGCTCAAATTGAATTGAATTGAATTGAATTGAATTTGCCTTATTTTACGTGGCGAGACTTGGGCCATCAGGCCCGCTCTTCCGTCTGACCACGCAAATTTCGCTACGCTCCTTTCACCAACTAGGAGAGAAAAGAGGTATTTCTTGGGCGAGAAACAGGCGATTTGAATTTAGCTCAGAGGCGTCATTTAGGCTTGATCTTTTACATGCAAGTAAATCTACGAACATGGGACAGCCGGCTTTACTTCCCCTCCAAATTCGTCCCGCAACACATGGCGACAATGAAGGCCAGGTGGATTTTTTAAAAATTTGTTGCGTCTATACACGCAATGCGTCTCCTAGCTCCTAAAAGCGTAGAGCGCACCTTGGAGTAATCCTCTGGGTCAATGGCCCCCATCTCGATCAGGTTTTCGTCCAGGTTACCTAATCCTCGAGAGAATGATCACACATAGGTTTTAACTGTTTTTGACGTAAATAAATAAATAAAAACTACAATTATGAAAGTTATCTCCTTTATCATACACCCAGCACCCTTAAGGGGCCGCTGGGTAGTCAAGTCACGTCAGTCGCAATCAAAAAATTGGGTTTGGGAATTGCATTTAACTGAGACGCCATCTATTTCAGTTACAACAAAATGAACAGAATAAAATCCTTCACCATGAAAAAAACAATAATATATGCAAACATTTTCAAAGTTTATCGATCCCTGATATACTAACATCCATTTGCATATATGTAGATTAAAGAAATCGCATTCTAGAAAATATAAATAAGAAACAAAAAACACTTATTTCCTTGTAACTGTTGGCCAAAAGTACTTTCTATTTCAGTAACAATGATTTTTTTTCACATTCGATACACGTTATATTAGAAATGTAAATATCTAATTTGTATATAAAACCAAACCATATTTCATTCAATTTCATCTTGACCAAACTGAATTGTTATTGAACCGTGATAAATATTTCGTACATTTATTTTAAA